TTGATCCTTCTACCTGCTGCCTGCTATAGTAACTTTGGGATCTGCTTTGTCCTGTGAAACAAAATTTAAGCGGGACATTACACTGTTGCAGATGACAGAGTGAAGGGCGCTGACCCGGGGATTGCTGGAAGCTCATATGCTATTGGAGTAGTGTCAGTTTTCATGAAGACTGGCACTGAAAGACTGCTAGGAGTCTGTTAACAGCAGTGTCATTGCTCCAGATCTGAAAAGGGAGAGTCCTTGTTCTGACAGTTACTTTGCATGAACTCTGCCCTGCTTTAGCCTCATACACTCTGAATTTGCTCCCCTGAGATTTTAATGCAAATAGACTTCCCCATGAGACACAGAGAATTTCTTCAGAACAAGAAGGGTCAGTGTAAGACTTGATTATGGATTATTCAGATACGGACAGTGACTCCACGTTGGGATACAGCGATGATGAAGATTCCGGTGATGAAGGTCAAAGAATATCAGAGTCAGTGCACAGAAAACTGTATTTACAAATATTGGGATATAGATAGATATATATTTTTTAAACCAAAATTTCACATATTCTTGTGTTATAAACTGTTAAATAATCTAGAGATTAAAGAAAGCTAGCTCAGTTCTTAAAAATAATGCTCTTCTCCATTTTCTGCATGTTTGAATTAATATTACATGAAATCTCTGCTAACTTGGTAAATTTTCTGCATTAACCAATATGAAAACTATATGATTAGAAATGTTTAATCACAGCATCTAGTTGTTAATAAGTTTGTATTGGGAGAGTAGATACGATTTTATATCTCAGTTCAATGACCATGGTGAGTGCACCCACAAAGGAAGCAAACAACCAGAGTAATAATAGCATTGTCACTTCATATTAATGCTTTTTATTAGAAGTTTCTGCCTTCTCTAGTGATTAATTAAAATCTAAACTGAGTTACATACCATTGTTTCTCACAGGAACAGGCTCTTGAAGTGCATAGAAATAGTATTTCTGTATGCTGTTAGGTACATAAAAAGGCTCAATGTACCTAATAATAGAAATACATGACAGTATATGGCAACATGAGTTTTGTATTGAGTTACCTTGGCATAGAATAACTTCTCATTATATAATATTCTTACATAGCAACGCAGTAGGCTAGGACATAGCCATGTATAGAAATTCCAACAGTTTGAAAAAGACATCTAAGTTTCATTGTATTAGTTTTACAACTGAGCACTGAAAATATATCAAAGCTGGTAGTATTAACAATGAAATTCGGTTTTTTTAAATCAGATCAGGATATATTATGATGAGTTACTATTCAAATGTTATTCTGTATTTTAGAATCTGATATAGTTGTCACGTTAAAAACAGATAGCTGAGTACACGAGTAGTGTAATGCTGTGCAAAGTGCATGACCTTGGTGTCAGCCAGATCTGTGTTCTGATTCCAATGTTGAAACTCTTAGCTGTGTCTGGTTTTGTATGCACTGCTGAATTCCCCGTGTATAAATTTGTGTTAAAATTTTTACCCTTTGTTGTTTGCAATAAATATGATTTGTATGAGCTATGTAACAGAGATCCTGATATATCCAAAGTGGTCAATAAATGACAAACATTGTATGATTTCTTTATAATTATGCTCACTATGTTTTTCCCTGATGTAATGCTGCTTTTCAGTTTTATTTACATGCTTATTTACTTTACAAGGTACTGAGTCTGATTCCAGTCCATACTTACATATTTTCCTTTGTAAAATATTTTTGCTTCTTTTGCTGACTGCCAATCCAATGACTTTTTTTCACCATTTACTTATACTACTCCAATGCATTTTTTGCTTTCTGTTATGAAGGAGTTATGGTTAGTTTTTTTTTAATGTACTAGATATGCACCAGTTGAGATAAAATTTAAGATAGTGAAAATTTGTGATGGATGCCATTGAATATGTTGTTTTTAAAAACTACATAATTTTTAATTGCTAGAATTTAAATATACTTTCGGAAAATTTATATTTAAATGTGTCCTATAAAGCTTGTTTTTGTTTTTTGTTGTCATTAATTTCATGAAGGATAACAATTGGCACCAGTAATGTTTCCCATCTGTCAAGTTCACTTCATTGAAAATTTCCACTTAGAAACTCATAGTGTAGTTTGGAAATAAAGTTTTGCTTCTGTGATGCAGGAAAAGTTCCCCTACTTTGTTCCTGGATAGGTAGGAGTTTTTTTTTAAATGGCAAACTTTCAAAACAATGCACATGATAGATCATGTTGGAAATGAAAATTATGTGTAAAGAGCAAAGCATACTTTTTCTATATGACAAACAGTATGAACTTTGATGATGAGTGGGTGGGACTCTTTCATCATTACCATTTCATAAATGAGGAATCTGAGCTTTTCATGTAGCTGATGAGTAGTAGAGTTGTCACAACACTGAGCTAGTGTTACTCCAAAGCCTGAAGTTGGCTGTACTATCCCAGGTCTCGGTAGTACAATGCCTGTTTCAATGCTGCAGCTCCTGGTTATTCAGTTTTTCCTCTGTGTCAGGCATTAGGGTAGTATGGGGACCATCACTAACCAAGGTCCCTGCCCACATATGATTAGAAAGAGGGCAACATTGTTCTTGTGGCTGTTCTAACTCATACCAGTTGTTGACCTGGTTTCATGGCTTCTCAATTATTGAAATGTGTAGTGATGGAGTACTGGGGTTTATCGTATACAGATGTGGCGGGGGGAAAATGGAACATGCATCCCTGCTTTCAGACAAAGTGTTGGACTGGGATGCTGGACTGCCTGACATTGTCTGGACCAACAATGTCGGGGTGCCCTTAAATAAGAGATTAGCAGTATTATGATTCCTTATGAAGGACTACACTATTGCACTAGAATGGGAAAGTTCGTCGGGGCGTGGAAGTTTAAGGGAGTATCCCAGCCTATATGAAATTGTACCACATAATCAGAATTCAAAATAAAATATATAAAAACATAAGAGGGCAACAGAGCGTTTGCCAAGTAAGTATATGAAAATATGTGAATCAAAAATGGTCATAATGATTGAGTATAGAAATACATTTGGTTGTAAAAACAGATAATCAAGACATCTGACCTGCCTAATTCAGGATGGTTTTTCCAAGAAAGAAGTGTGTAGGCTACACGCTATTAGACAAGTAGAGGACATGAGACTATAATAAAAATTTTAGAGTGAGTGGGGAACTTAGTCTTATAAGTAAATTAAAAACATCTACAATAATTTGTAGTTTTTTTTTTCTGTCATAGTGTAACTAGTGTGTGTGAAACAGAAATGAAAAAGGGTATCACTGGTAAGAGAAACGTGGTATGAGACACCTTAAGAATTTGTTGCTGTTCCAACGCAGGACCCAGGTGGAAAAGACTGTGAATCCTCACATATAAAAACCAGAACTGAATAAGTGACAAGTCATACCATGCGTGTTCTTGTATAGAAAATTAATATTAGAAAGTTTTTCTTCTGAAAGTACTGTATTAATGTAATACAGCCCAACCAGAATTCTTATGTGGTTTTCTGAGCAGTGGAAATACTATTTTGAGACCTATGTGATAACAAAAAGAGGGACAACTTATTTTACCAAATACTGAATACTAATAGTTGCCACAAAACAACTGTAATCAAACGGCATGGTATGGCAGCAGCGAAAACATTGCACAAAAAATCGACAATGAGGGCCCGGCGCGGTGGCGCAGTGGTTAAGGTCCTCGCCTTGCACGCCCGGGATCCCATATGGGCGCCGGTTCTAATCCCGGCAGCCCCACTTCCCATCCAGCTCCCTGCCTGTGGCCTGGGAAAGCAGTCGAGGACGGCCCAAAGCTTTGGGACCCTGCACCCGCGTGGGAGACCCGGAAGAGGCTCCTGGCTTCGGATCGGCATAGTATCGGCCCGTTGCGCTCACTTGGGGAGTGAATCATCGGACGGAAGATCTTCCTCTCTGTCTCTCCTCTCTGTATATCTGCCTTTCCAATGTAAAAATAATAAAAATAAATCTTTAAAAAAAATTAAAAAAAAAAATCGACAATGAGAAAACATGTTAGAGTTTAGTATGTCTTTAAGACATAAATATTCACTGGGAACATCTTTACTTGCAAGAAAGTATATTAGAGAAACATAATGCTTTATGATTTTCGAACATATTAACACCACATTGTCTTCTGTGTATCTCTTTCTGTAATGTATTTTATATTTATTATTAGTTACAATAACTCAAAAGCTTTGTTAATGAAGAAAAATGGCTTTTTCAATTATAATTTGATGTTGCCGTAATAACAGTACTTTTTTAGTAGCTGAAGATAAATTATGAATGTTATTTTACCAAGCCTACTTTGCTGGAAAAAGAGAGAAATGCAAGTGCAAGATTTCAAAAGTGTTAGATATGGATAGATCTAGTTAAAGTGACATATTAATGCTTTTAAGGAAATGGAATTTATACATTTCAATTAGTGTTACTTATATTTATCACATATCCTAAGAATAATACATTTTGTTATGGGTGAATAACTATGTGTTATAATCCATTAAAAAGTTAGCTATAAAAATATAAGGTCTCCAAAGCATGTGAATAATTAACTTATAATTATTCTTGATATTTTACCAATAAATGATAAATTCATCTGCAAATGATTTAAATGCTTAGTTTCCATAGGTAGACGTTCAAATTTCTTTTAAAAATTCCATCTGTTCATGTTCATCAGTATGTTTATCAGTATCAATTTAATAATTACCCATATGGTCGAAGGAATGATGACATAATTCCACTCTAACAATAAAACTAAATTTGAAAATTATACCTCCTGAATTATAACTGTAGGATTCAAATGAAAAAATAACAAGGGTACATGGATCTTAAGGACAGAGAAATTTGTACTATGAATGAAGATTAAGCCTGCAGGTGGATAAAGAATTTGTATAATGAATACGAGTACACTGAGTTAGTTACAATGGATACTTTTTTTGGTACTGAAGGTTGTTTTACTTTAATATTTCTCTTTTTTTGCACATACAGGGAAGACGTGAGAACAGCCAATGTAATTGCTGCAGAAGCTGTAACATGTCTTGTGATTGACAGAGAGTAAGTACATTTCTTTATCATTTTGCATACCACATACTCATTAGCATCATATATAAGCTTTTAGAATTTCATAGCATTTTATGGAGCCATTCACAATTGCTTTATTTTCTCATTTTCATATTATTTCTTTTCGATTCTCATTTCCTATTCTTGAAAGTGGCTGGCTGTGCTATTACAGTTTTTTGAGTTTCAGTAAGATGAATAAATACTTAATCTTGACTTGTTTTTAAATCGGAGATAATATCACAGAGATACTTTGAGAATGAATGAGAAAATTGAGTAAAACAGTTCTGCAAGTGCCTTTTATTCAGGAAATAAGAATTTGTATTATTGTTGTTGCTGTTTAGAAACAGACGACTACTTGAGTATATTTACATGTCCCAGTATCAGTAGACCACTGTTAGAACAGACATGGATTCAAGACATCAGCAGATTAATTATGGACTTGAAAATTTTGTATGATGCCTCTGCCTGACACTTTCCATTCTGACTTGCAGCTCACGTTACAACTTGAATAATTTATGGGTTAACCTACAAACATCAGATAATTATCTCCCTAAGAGCATGGTTACTACAGAACTCTATGGTCAGGAAAAAGTCGGTTTTACTTTTCCTCATGGCCATATGTATGAGTAGTTTTATCAGAAAATCTAAATGCCTGACCCAAGGAGAAAACTGTAAAACATTCATGTGGCTGGGCCAGATACCGTCTGTTAAGGGTGATGGAGCTGGACATAGGGTGGAGAGGGATTCCCGTTCCAATTCATTTAATCTCAAATTTGGGGTGCCCTGTGTGTTGGATCATTAGAGCAGTGGTACAGCTGGAGAATGATAGCACTGTCAGTCAGTAGCTCTGAGGTGGACATTCTGTAGTTCCCACAAACTATTACCCATTCATTCTTTGTTTTCTGCTCACACTTTACGTAGGCTCTACCACATATAAAGCATTGTGCTAAGAAACAAAGGAAGAAACAACATTCCTGCTGGTTTTGTGGGGAACTTCTGACAGACAGGCAAAATGTATTAAAACAATCAGTACACAAGGCAAGAAAAAAGGCAAGAAATCAGAATGCATTTTTAGAGGAGTCAGTACTTAAAAGGAATCAGAGAATCTCCACGGAACGGATGTTTCTGTTAGGCAGATCTGACTGTGTGGGAAAGAGTATGCCTAGTGATACAAACAATGTAGTCATAAGGAAACTGTGAGCCATTTCAACTGCATAGGGTAGAAGCAGAGGTTGAAGGCAGCATATGTGTAGAACTTTAGTGCCACTTGGTGATTGTGAGGTCATTAATAGAATGCGTAATAATGAGTAGGTCAAAGGAGAAGCCTAAGCATCTGTCAAAATTTGAAGAGCAAAAAATGTAGTTTTACTCTGGGTAAGATGTGAAAGGAAGGAAGTCATTTGGGACGATGCAATCAGTCTATGAGAATGCAATGAATTTGAAATAAAGCATTGAACACTCAAGAACAGGTTCCATACAGGAGGTAGAAAATGCAAAACAAGGACTCTTGTTAGTGCTAACAAAAAAAATTGCCTACATAGAGTGAGAGCTGAAATCTTGGGATGGGGTAGAATTGCATGAAAAAATAAAGAAGAAAATAAAAGGAACAATGTTATAATTTGGAGAATTTATTTTATTAAAAAGAGGAAGAAATATCATTTGAAAATGAGATGTTGGCAGTCATAACTGTGCAGAAAACCCGGAGGACATTTCAATAAAAAATAGATTAACAGTAGAGTTAAAGGCAAGCAGGAAACTGGATGGCATGTGATTAGAAAAAAAGCGCAGTAAATTTATTAACCTGGAGAAAGCAGTTTTCATACATAGATGAAAATGGAATCTGGTGACAAAAAGAAAGTGGGTGTAAAGGAAATGAACATTGAGCCTAAAATATTTTCTTTTTAAATAAGTTGTTATCTGATTTTAACAATGGGCAAAGGATTTGGATAGACATTTTTTCAAAGGGAGATATACAAACGGCATGTAGATACATCAAAAATTGCACCACAGCCGTAGTTATTAGAGGAATGAAAGTGAAAAACAACAGTAAGCTATCACCTCCCACTTCCAAGAATGGCTAATATAAAGGAAAATGAAAGATAATATATATTAGAGAGATGCAAATAAGGAAGGTACTTATGCTCTGATGTAAAGCTATTATAGAAGAAAGATATGGCAATTCTTCAAATAACTAAAATGTAATGGCCATCTGACCCACACATTCTTACTTCTCGGTATACATACATAGAACCTGAAAGAAATATCTCATATCTGTATTACTGTGTTCGTTGCAATGTTTCTCACAATAGTCAAGATGTGGAAGCAACCTGAAGGGCCATCAGTTAAGTGATGAGTGAATGAGCAGAGTTTTTGTATAAGCACACATATATACATATGTATATATTTCATGAAAAAATCCAGAACTAGATAAATACCATCTGATCCCACTTATTTGTGGAATAGACTAAAGTTGATCTCAGAAATAAATAGTAGACTAAAATTTAAAGGACAATGATACAGAAGTAACAGAAATTGGCTGCTTAAAAGGTATAAAGATTTAGATAGAAGGACGTAAGAGGGTTTGACATGTATTGCCGAGTGAGGTGACAAGAGAAAATCGTGTTTCATGTTTTTATTTTCAGTGCATTTCAAATGTTCCACCATAAAATATGAATCCTGATGTGAAAGTTAACTTGATCTAATCATGCCACATACACATGCAAATAGCCAACTGTGTAATTATAATTGGTAATAATATTTGAGAAAAGTTACTTGATTAAAGAAAGGGATAGAAGAGAGAGTGAACATGAAGTGTTGGCAAAGGTTTTGGAGAATATCAGTATATTGGGTGTTGACAGTCATCCCCATCTCATAATTGTGATCAATCATTTGGATCAAAAATATGAAAGACAAAATGCATCTGTACTGAGCCTATGCAAGCTTTCCCCCATCATTATTCCATCAACAATGCATTACAGCAACTAGGTACCTTAGCTTGTAATTTATTTTTGGAACTATAAATAATTTAGAGTTGCTTAAAGTATTCAAGAGGATTGCATAAACTTCATACAGAAACTATGCTGTTTTATCCAAGACACTTGAACATCCTCAGATTTTGGTGTCTGAGGGGTGTCTCTGGAGCTAGCCCTCCTTCCGCTTCCAAAGAAAAATGAAAGATGACCAGACAGGCAATCCATGAAGACACAGCAAAAAAAAAAAAAAATTCCAATATTTGGTAGACATAGAGTTAGAAGAGAGGACATTAATGGCATACCATCACTGTAGAGAACTATATCAGTGTAGATAAGAAATACTGTGGGAATTTGAATGCTCTCATCTTTCCTCTAAGCATAAAGCAAGGAATTATGATGAGAAGAAGGATGGCGAGGGTGACATGCTGTCAGCAGGATGGGTGATAGATGAGAAGTCTCAGCAGTTTTATCCCTGCAGACTGTTGCTATTTGCTGAGTGTTCACAGCTATGAGATTTTACCTGAAATGTAGTTAGTGTGTTTTATAGAAGAGGAATCTGAAGGTCATAAAAATTCAGCAATTTGATAAGATTTCATGGTGAAGCCAAGATTAACTACCAAAAAACAAAGCTAAATGGAATTTTGCTGCTCATTTTGTCTAATTCCTTCATTTTTGTTTAAGTTTCAGTGGATAAAAATATCGGGTAGTATTGCACACATATATTTTCCCTCATTTTAATTTTCTGTTTTCTGAAAACTTAAGCATAGGCAGTGCAAAGTAAAAGATAATTGAGTACTGGTTAAGTTCACTACCTGAATCTTGACTTCACTATTTGTTGTAATATGAGCAATGAGACTTAAATATGAGCAATGTACTTACATTCTGAGTCTCAGTGCCATTGTTTGCAAGATATATTGCCTAAATTATAAAATTGCTTGAAACTGAAGCAACTTAACATATGTAATTATCCATGTGCAGTATAAAAATGTAGAAAGCACTCAATAAATGTACGTTTCACAGAAAAATTGGGAATGCCAATTTATCTCTCATTAACACGGGTTTATCTTCAGGAATCAAAACAGAGAAGACAACTTTGAAAGAGAGCTAGGTTTAGGTACAAATGCAAGACACAGTTGGAGGCTAAGAACTCGGAAGTGCATTCTGCACTCGTAGGAGAGATATAGAATTTGACAAAATGTTGAATTCACAGCTTTAAAAAAAAAAAAGTACCATAGCTGAAGGATTCTGTCAAAAGCCTGATGCTGATATCTAATTTATGGCCAATTAGTAGAGCACCAGGACTTCATCCTGTGCAAACAGATGGCAGATATTAGATCTGTCAACAAAAGGAGCTTTCCTTCACGAATTTACAAGCGAAGTACCATGTACATGAGCCAGTGATTATGCCTTATAATTCCAGAGGGAGAGCCAAGGAACATTATTGTAAGTAATCAGGCTTGTCAACTTAAAAAAAACTCATTTACAAAACAGAAAATGATAAACAGATACATGGATTACTCAAAATCCATGCTCTGAGAATTAGTTTCTCAAGACATACTCATTATCTTCATAACTATCAACCCTGATTCAAAAATTTGTAGACATTGTCTAAAACAGATTATTAATCCAAGAGCAGTGTGTTTTCATTGATGAGTTTTCATTCCACAGAAAAACAGCCTGGTACCTTTTCTAGTCTTATTTTAGAATCCGTAAAAAGTAATAAATATAAAAGTTTGTATGCTTTGTTTCTTTATCAGTTACACAATGTATGTCATCATTGTCACTGGACAATGACAAGTTTCCTTCTTTCCTTCCTTCCTTCCTTCCTTTTTTCCTTCCCTTCCTTTCCTTTCCTATCTTATCCTATCCTATCCTATCCTTTTTTCCTCCTTCCCTCTCTTGGCAGGAATACACATATCCACACACAAATGCAATGCAGGTTTTCTATCTCCTGGTTCTCTTCCCAGTTGTCCTCAACAGTAGGATTGAGTGAGATAAAAGTGAGGAACCAGAAGCTATATC